TATAACGAACTTTACGTCATAAACTTTTTCGTTCTCAATGCGATGGCAGCGAAACGTTGCAAAGAATATTCGGCAATACGAAATATTCCGATTTCATTGATGGTAAATATTTTTTGCGAAATTAGCGCTTAAAAGGACCCCAGTTTTCGAAGAAAAACGCGTCTAGTAAAATATTTTGCTGATATTTTTTACCAAAATTTCTGGGATCGGTTTTTATTGATATAACAAATATGCCTGAGAAATTTCAGAAATATTGTTGGAGCAGAAGTCCGTAAGTAGAAAGTCCTTCAAAATTTAGCTGTGAAATTGTTCTTGAATACCAAAAAGAAATTGCTCTGAGGTAGAAGGAGCCACCAGTTTGAATGTTCGGGAGAAGTAATTCCAGTGTTTTCTAATTCTTAAAACAAAAGCCGATTTCCAATCGTGCTATTCTTTAAAAAGTACCTTTTAGTTTTAAAAGCACTGTAAATTGCTCCAAACCTTGCTCTGAAGTCGAATGACTTGTTCCTCAAAATTTTTGAAATATCGCTCAGTTTTAACTGAAACTTCTGCTACATACATTGGGATGTATTGCAATGCATCTTCAACGGCTTTTACTGCGGTATGTTGCTTTGTATTGATTCACTGTTTTGACGTTATACTAATTTTTCCAAATTAATGCGGGCAATACATATATCTATGACTAGTACATTTCAGTGTGACTATTGTCAATGTTTTACATTCAAAAGATGAAATAAATTCAAAGTAAAATGTACTAGTCATGTAGGTGTGTATAGTGTGCATTATTTTGGAAAAATTAGCATAACGTCAAAACAGTGAATGTTGTAACGTAGATTTTTGACTGGTTCGTAGGATAGGTTTGTCTTGAAATTTCACGGTGTTGCAGTAAATCAATCTTAATGAAAGTTTCAGACATTTTTATATACATTATGAAGATTATGTGAAGAGATTTTTAAAAAAATTCGTTCGAGTCGTTTGGGAGCTATACAAGAAAGCGCTAAAAGTCCAAATTCTGAATGAAGTTGCACTTATACAGGTGGTGAGAAAACGGGTTAGTTTTCAAGATCGCAAGAACGAAAGTACACCAAAATTTCCTAGCATCAAGATATGATATTAAGCATCATTCTGACGCTACTTAAGAATAATTTGAGTCATATATAACGTTTTTATATAATCTATTACGGCTATTGAAAATTTAAGGTTTGAAATGTATTTTCGTTTTAGTCGAACTCAAACATACAGAAGTTTTTACTTCTTACGGAGATTGTTTGCTAAACACCAAACTTTAAGTTCCTAGTGTTGGATTTTCCGTTTCAAAGTTTTTTTGTTTTTTTTTTGTTGTCATAGTAATATCGATTTTACTTAAAACTACATTTTCACAAATTTCAGTCCATAGCCAATTACTGGTGAAACTTTTATAGCGATCGGACAAGGAAAAAACCACTTTTAAGGCGATTGAAAAATGTCGGTATGGCCTACGAAAAACTGTATCCAAACACCTTAATAGTAACTCACCAATCTTACTCAGACCCCTTGGAAAAAACCTCTTTAAGCAACCCCCCACCTCCTCGGAAATTGCCTCCTTTTGGACCCCCCTCCCCTCGGAATTTCCGTTGGCCTGCCGTGGGGGGCATGCATGTTTTCTGGAACTACACAATACAAAGTAACTTTACGTTATATGATTTTTTTGCAGTGGTTTTAAGTATAAACAACATCCAGCCCTGAGTAAATCTATATATCAACCTTCATTTATTCGATTAACCATATCTTTCCTTTTCATAGGCAAAGAAAACCAAGTCTTAGAACCTAAAATGTTACAAAGCTTGAAAACTGAACTGACACAAGCTTGCTGCATTTGGTGAATGGAGAGATAAAGAAGCCTTTGTCACAGTGTCCTAAGTGTAACATGAAGCACTGGGTACTGGAGAATTGAAATAGTATGACACCTTTCCAGTTGGAAGGTTGATATTTGTTGTATATATTTCTTGGATCTATTTTTTTCTTGTTTAAAATGGAGTAAAGACAAAATGAAAGGAAATTCTAAATCATACAACCATCACGCGTCTTCTGTGTGTTTTGTGCGTTATTATTGCTTTTCTTTCAGTTGCACGGGGTTTACAGGTTGCTGTTTCGCCAAACCTACTTATGACATCCAACATTTAAACTCTTTCCCGCCAAAAGTGTCTGAGAAGGCAACATTACAGAATTTATAACTTCCAAACACATCAGTTGTTTGTTGACTGCGAATGTTGACCTCAACGTAATGTTATCATGTTCTCATGTCTAGCTGCTTGCAGTAGGACTGCCCTTGAGACAATGACAAATTTTCTTCCCCTAAAATCTTAAAACTGGTTATTTTATCAACTGAGTATGGGTTATGTTCAGCAAAACTGCCACTGTGAAAGGTTTGAACCCAGGAGTCATTTCATAAGGAGGTTAAGTATGTTGTCTAGTCGTTCAACTGACAATTTGACTAACAATAAACGACTGTTTAACTGTGACAATAGATGGATCGAAACGCAGCAATGACGTGACGAGTCATCATACCCAGTAAAGTCACGGCTCAACTGACAGAGGACCAATAGCATGCGACTTTGACCAGCCAGGTCAATAACCAGAGTTTAACACCATCAACTGCGGCGATACAATTCACTTTGACTCTGAAGATGACTTTAATCACTGTCAACAACAACAGTCCTATTCAGGACAACATTCACCCGGACGATCATACTCAAGCAGCTTATGAAAACTGCTACTATCAATCCTCACGATTCTTTCAGGATCTTTCCCTAAATGTTAAAGAGGCTTTCCATCATATCATCACAACTTATCTTGAGAAATACAGCCTCCATTTTCAAATATTTTCGCTGAAAAGAGTTTTGGTTTTCTATCTCGTTCATCCGGTGTTTTCAATTACCTAATGTGTATTTAAATAATCAGTGTTACAGCACTGACAGTTTCTCTCAGCTCGACGTATTTGTGAACTACCATGGTTAACTACACTAGGCGTCTTTCCCAAGGCTCCCCGTGGGGAAATAAGTTGGGTAGGGTTCGCTAGGGGTTTTAATCACTTTATTTTGATCACTTTCACGTTTGCAGTTACATAGCGATAAACTCAAGAAAAAGACTTGAACCCGGTTTTGCGGGAAACAGTCGTTGTAAACATTTAAGGCTGACACAATGGTAAACGGTTTCGACCATTTTCAAGAGCCTCCAGTCTAGCCCTTAAATTTTGAGACTAAAAAGATGACTTCGACCCACGCTTCAAAGAAGGCAAGTTCTCTCTTAAAAGTCAAATGTACGGGTTTAAAAAAACGGTTGCAACGGCTTCGTAGGGAAGGAATTCTGGAACACTGATGTGAATTTATTTAACGTAAAAACATTTAAAGCAGCGTTTAAAATCCTAATGATTTGTCGAACTTTGACTCCAGTTTCATGTAGGATTTGGCTCCAAGACGAACACAGCACGTAAGCAAGACGTAGCTTTTACTTGCGTTGCTGTATTGAAGGCAAGCCTAGCCAACCAGGAATACCGTAAAAAGCAGGAGATGAGGTTGATATTCAAATATGGGACTGTAGGCCCTAGAGGCCTTAACCAAGACTTTAGTTTCACGTGAATCACCTGCCCCTTCCGCCCCCTCCTTTTTTTTTTTTTTTTTTTNGGCACGTGAGCGTAATTTTAACGAACTTTTTAACGGTATTTAGTCTTGTATACCCTGAAGAAGGCGGCATTGCCGAAACGTCGGTTAAGATTCTAATAATAACAGCGTCCGTTTTACAATTTTTAAATTAACATTTATAAGTACTACGCTGCGCAGGTTTTTCAGTCTTTATTACGTAGCTTTTACTGTTTGGTACATTTCACTCTCTCGTGATTGGTTGAGCCGCTTTGGGTTTAAGACCCTGTTTCCAAGGAGAGAGTGTAACCCTGGTGTTACCCTAGCGCTAAGATTACCTTACGTGACTGCTAGGGTTACTCTCGCGTATTGGCTACTTAATGCTAGGGATAACTCGCCTAAGCGGGACAATTTTCCTCCGTCGTGCGTGACCAGTAATCTTGACAATTTGAACTGAGTTATCTAACTTCTAAGCTAAATTATACGTACATGAAGAATTGAATGTACTTTCTGTATACAATGATAATGCTTCCCCTTTTCACGATAATTTAATATGTTTTCCATCGAGAACTTCAAGTTTTCTTTCAAATCTTGGACGTTACAAGGATTGTTTATTTTAGTCTTATGCCGTCACGCGTGACGAAACACGTCAGTAAAGCTGGTAAATGTTAATTTAAAAATGTAAAACGGACGCTGTTAAAAGAATCTTAACCGACGTTTCGGCAATGCTGCCTTCTTCAGGGTATACAAGACTAAATACCGTTAAAAAGTTAGTTAAAATTAGCTCACGTGCCTGATGGCATACTCGCGCGGGTGCCACATGAAATAGCGCGCTAGGGCGCGCGAGTAAGCCAAAAAAAAAGGAGGGGGAGGGGGAGGGGGGGTGATTCACGTGAAACTTAAGTCTTGGTTAAGGCCTCTAGAGCCTACAGTCCCATATTTGAATATCAACCTCATCTCTTGCTTCTTACCGTGTTCCTGGTTGGCCAGGCCTGCCTTCAATACCGCAACCTTGATGTCCTCCAGTGTATGATTTGGTTGGTTGAAGTGGGCAGGTACAGGAAGGTCATTCCTCCTGTTGATGATATCTCTGTGGTGTTCTAGAAAACGGTCCGCCAACCTGCGTCCAGTCTCTCCAGTGTACACTATCGATGGACACTTGGTGCACGACAAGCAATAAACCACGTGTTCAGTGATGCAGGAAAGATGTTCCATGATGTAAACATACCCTTTAGGTGTTGTAATTGTGGATGATGAATTAACATGGAATCATGTGCGGCAAACGGTCCTGTTACAAGGGAAAGTACCTGGTGATTGGTGTGGAAGGTTTCGAGGTAGGCTCTTTCTGACTGGCAGATCCTTCAGATTCTTGGCACGACTGAAAGCCTTCAGTGGTGGTTTATTAAACATCTTGCTTGTCCTGCTATCCTCGCGAAGGATCCGGAAATTCCTTGAGATTATTTTCTCGACAACAAGGTTACTGGGGTGGAAGGTAGTGACGAAAGGTACTCTATCCTTAGCGATGTTGTTAGCAGCGTCACTCTTCAAAATTTCAGCCCTTGATTTGGTCGACGCTCGTTCCCTTCCCCTTCTAATGAGGTCATTCGGATATCCGCGTGCTGCAAAAAAGGTCTCCATTTTTGCTGCCACAATGTCGAAGTCAGCATCATCGCTACAGATCTTACGCAGTCTGAGAAACTGACTATAAGGTATGGATGGCTTGCAACTGTAAGCATGAAATGAACTGAAGTCGAGGTAAGAGTGGCTATCCGTGGCTTTGTAATGTATAGAAGTGGCTATGCGATTAGCTTGAGGCTTCATGCAGATATTCAGGAAAGGAAGTTTGTCCGGTGAGACCGACTCTGTATATTCAAGGTTAGGGTGAAACGAGGAAGCAAACTCGAGGAACTGACGGAGGTCCTCTTCACTACATGAAGCAGCGCCGGCCACATCATCCATGTACCGCTTTTATAAGTCTGGATTTATACCGGTATAACTGGAAAGCATGCGTTCCTCCACATGGCCAACAAAAAGACAAATATAATTCGGCCCTAGTCGACTACCCATGGCCACTCCACCTGTTTGTTTGTAATATTCACCACTGAATTCAAAGGTGTTAAGTGTCAGTACTAGTTCAGCCATGCGTACGAGAGTATCCGTAAGTGGTTCAAGGATTCCTCTCTTGTCAAGATAGTATTGCAGTGCGCGGAGACCTCCATCATTTGGTATAACCGTATACAGCGACTCAATGTCCATAAATTAAATTAAATGCTGTCCATCAACGTCCCTGAAACGGAAGGAGTCAAGGATGTTCAGCATGTGTGTGGTGTCTTTCACATAGTTGTTGGGGCTCCGCACAAAAGGTGCCGTTACATGATCAATATAGAGGGCTAGAAGTTCAGTAGGGCACGAACACGCGGAAACTATAGGTCTACCGGGATTTCCAGGCTTGTGGATCTTGGGTAAGAAGTAAAATTTGGAGGTACGTAGGTGTTCTACAATGAGATTAGAAGCGGATGGAGGAAGCTGGTTATTCCCTATAGCAGTTTCAATAAATGACTTGACCTCTTGTTGAGAGCTTTATGTGGCATCACTAGGAATCTTCTCGTAGAACCTTTTGTCTGCCAGTCGTCTGTTGGCTTCAGCTATGTAGAGATCTGTCCTCCATACAACAAAAGCTCCTCCTTTATCAGCCTGTCTGATAACCACGTCGGTTCTATTCTTCAGCTTGCGTAATGCTTGTAGTTCGTCATAGGATAAGTTGTGCCGTGTCAATCTGTGCTCGAAGACAATTTGATTAACTTCTCTACGACATTTATCATTGTAATGATCAACGGCTGTAAATTGTTCGGGTGGTGGGGTCCATTTGCTTGATCTGGGTTTTAAGCTTTCTATAATGCCTGTTGTCCCTGTGTCCTGCTGCTGGTTAGCGTTATTGGCATCGGTGTCGGACGAGTTACTAGCGATGGTATCGTTGAGCTGGTTGCCGAGTGCCCCACTGTGTGTGTCTTCAAATGTTTCATGGAAGTGGGCTTTCAAACGTAAGCGTCTGAAAAATTTCTCATAACCTTCTTTCACTTGGAATTCGTCTGTTACAGATGTTGTGGGAATAAAATTAACAGAGATCTTTCATGCTCGTCTAATGGAAGATCTTCTGGAATAATAACAACCAGCTTGTCCGTGTTAGTTGAGATTCGCGGTGAGCCACTAAAACAGCTATACCAGTGTCATTGGTGTTTGGCATTGATTGATTGGCGCACAGAAGAATGATCTTAGCTTCCTTTACTCCACACAACCGTTCATACGGCTGTCTATTTAAGCGATGAATCGATTAAAGCCAAAGCCACGGATAGCCACTCTTACCTCAACTTCAGTTCATTCCATGCTTACAGTTGTAAGCCATCCATACCTTATAGTCAGTTTCTCAGACTGCGTAAGATCTGTAGCGATGATGCTGACTTCGACATTGAGGCAGCAAAAATGGAGACCTTTTTCGCAGCTCGCGGATATCCGAATGACCTCATTAGAAGGGGAAGGGAACGAGCATCGACCAAATCAAGGGCTGAAATTTTGAAGAGTGACGCTGCTAACAACATCGCTAAGGATAGAGTACCTTTTGTCACTACCTTCCACCCCAGTAACCTTGTTGTCGAGAAAATAATCTCAAGGAATTTCCGGATCCTTCGCAAGGATAGCAGGACAAGCAAGATGTTTAATAAACCACCACTGAAGGCTTTCAGTCGTGCCAAGAATCTGAAGGATCTGCCAGTCAGAAAGAGCCTACCTCGAAACCTTCCACACCAATCACCAGGTACTTTCCCTTGTAACGGGACCGTTTGCCGCACATGTCCCCATGTTAATTCATCATCCCAATTACAACACCCAAAGGGCATGTTTCAACACGGGACATTTTTCCTGCATCACTGAACACGTGGTTTATTGCTTGTCGTGCACCAAGTGTCCATCGATAGTGTACATTGGGGAGACTGGACGCAGGTTGGCGGACCGTTTTCGAAAACACCGCAGAGATATCATCAACGGGAGGAATGACCTTCCTGTACCTGCCCACTTCAACCAACCAAATCATACACTGGAGGACATCAAGGTTGCGGTATTGACGGCTGGCCTGTTCAACCAGGAACACCGTAAGAAGCAAGAGATGAGGTTGATATTCAAATATGGGACTGTGGGCTCTAGAGGCCTTAACCAAGACTTAAGTTTCACGAGAATCACCCCCCTCCCCCCCTTTTTTTTGGCTTACTCGCTATTTCGTGTGGCACGCGCGCGAGTATGCCATCAGGCACGCAAGCTAATCTTAACTAACTTTTTAACGGTATTTAGTCTTGTATACCCTGAAGAAGGTAGCATTGCCGAAACGTCGGTTAAGATTCTTATAATATTAGCGTCCGTTTTACAATTTTTAAATTAACATTTATAAGTACTACGCTGTGCAGGTTTTTCAGTCTTTATTAGTAAAGCTGGTAAAGTTGATTCGGGTGATAGGTTTACCCGACCTGTGAAATTTTGCTTGTAAAATCAGGATATCTTTAACCCGCTTGGTAAGGTAACCCTCTCTCCTTGTACACAGGCCCTAACCCATAGAACTTGGTTCAATTGGCTGTTTACCGTTAACAAAAGTTTCCGGAAAATCCGGTTGGAAAGTGAATGGAACACAACTTTCTGGATCGTTCCAGCAGAAAATGTCCGGGAGCAACGGAATCCCTGAATGGGTAGTCCTGTTTTTCTGGACGTAAAGCTTCATGCCTCTGAGGTTCAAAGGGAGTTCACTAACCCTTTCACTGCCAAATATGACCAAAGGCAAATTCGACAAAAGTTCCAAATTCCCATTTTACAAAATGGCATTTTGTAAAATATTTTTAAAGCAAATAACACCACATGAAAGTACTTCCAAAGCGATTTCAATTGAATGGTCGCACCATAGGATTTTGTCCACAAACGTGAAAGTTAGAACCTCCTAACAAACTCCATCATCCACTCCGGCAGTGAAAGGGCTAATTAGCTTGGAAATCGCTCTAGTGCTCTTGAAATTGAAGATAGAGAAGATCAGGACACTGTTGAAACAACCTGGAGTAGCATCTTAACAACGAAACCGAGTATAGTGTCTTGGGCTTTAGCAGGGAGAAAGATAAGGAATGGATTACACCTGAGACGTGGAATAAAATCGATCAGAGGAGGGAAGCCATAACAAAGTCCGCTGGACTGATTCAGCGTGCAAAAGAATAATAGAAGATCAAAAACAAATAGGTTAAGAGGAGTGCCCGTAAGGACAAGAGCTGTTGCGGAGGAGTTATCTGATAAAGCAGAGAAGGCTACAGTAGGAAGACCTCAACACTATGTACAAGATCACAAAGCACTTAAGTGGACGGAGTAACACCAACACCAAGCCAGTCAAAGACAAAGAAGGGAAAATGATAACAACTAAAAGGGAACAGGCTGCAAGGCGGGTGCAGCATTTCAAAGAGGTGCTTAACCGGCCGGGGCCTAATGAACCTGCACATCCTGACCCTTTGGATATTCTTAACATTAGTAGTGTATAGATACACTAAACCTACAACGGGTTTGGAAAGATTGTATCCCTTTCATTCGATGCATTATGAGCACCCCGGGTTTACGGCCCAAGACGTCTTTGATGATGTCGAAGAACAAGCAAGTTATGCCCATCAAGAAGCAAGAAGAAACCCGCTGCGAAAGTGAAAACATAGATCGCCCAAACACGAAATGGTTCGAGGATAACCTCATAGTTAAGATGAAAATTATGGAGGACCCGCAAGCTCGTTTGCATTAGGAGCGAGGTGTTTGCCTGATTAGCTTCGAAACAAAAAGGGTTGTTGGCATTGGACACGTACGCCGGGGAGTTTTGTATTTTTAGATACCTTACGGTTGATCGAGGGGCGCACAGTCAATTCGACACGACACGCAATCTTTTCCAACAATAATCCAGTTCGACGAGGCATTCTCCTTTGATCGAAAACCATTTTCACCGGGGGATACCGCATACGAAGTTGATGAACAAGGTTGACGACGAAGGTACCTTTTCCTTGAAATATTTGCCTTTGCGCTTCGACAAAATCGGGATGCCCCAAGTGAATATCGGTATCTAGAAAGACCACGCTTTACTGATCACAAATCTCGACAAACTGTCGAACCACTATGCGTGTGGCAAGTGTCAAGCAAGATTCACCAAAGCATGGAACCTGCGGCGGCACGCAGAGGTTTGTACGAGAGGGGCAACCAAGGTGGTGTGCCGAGAAGAGCAAATCCAGATCCCCGAAACTGCATATGAAAAAGCGTTTTATGGGAAGACGACTTATTGTGGAAAGGCGGTAAGCTGGATGGAGCACGAGGCTCGGCGGAGGGGTGTGCATATTCATCACCAAATATGTGGTCACGATGGGGAAAGGGTGTTCGGGGAAAGGGTATTTGCAGGCTATCCAGTGGGTGATTTTTGCCTGGAAACATGGATATGGCCTGGCTGCCATATTACGGCATTGGAAAGGCTGTCCAAAGTGGTATCCAAAACACCTGGTCGCTTTCGAAAAAACCAAGCAAGGAAAAGGAAAATTGACAAGAGATTTGCAGCATGCACAAACGGTTTATCTATTTATCGTGTACGATTTCGAGGCGTTGCTGGGCGCGAACAAACACCTGCAGGCGACGAAAGACCTGCGGTTCTAAAACGAGCACGTGCTTGTCTCTGTTTCTTTGGCAGACACTCTGAACAGAGAGCCAGAACACATATCCAGCAACGACCCGAAAGAGCTTGTCCGGAAATTTCTGGGCGGGGTTCGTGCGAAGGTGTGTCGCCATCCGAGAAGACATGCAGCGGTACATCCTGGAGGATCTCGATTTCCTGCCGGAGAATCAGCAAAAGCTGATCAACCAATGATCAAGAATCTGATCAAGAAGTATTTTGTGACCCACATCGCAAAACTCGGTGATGTGAAAGTGGCCAACAAAACAAGGTCATGTTCATGATCACACCGATGTTCAAGTTTTTGGACATTTGTAATTACATAAGCCCGGGGACCGCTTATGAGAAATGGGTGAAAACGTACGGAGCCAAGCTCTCCAAATCGTGGCTTCCGTATGAGTGGTTTGACTGTGCCGACAAGGCTTGCCGTCGTATCGTTGTTGGTTCTCAAAACTAAAAAACAAGTTTGTATTGTCACCTGAGGGTATGAGGAATGCCAGTGCGTGTTTCTGGAGCAGAGAATGAGAACATTTGCCGATTGGTTGGGGTATTAAAACAGCCCGGATGTTGTGCCCTTTGTGAAAGCCCTAGAGTCCATGCGAGGGTTTTACACCGGGCTGGGAATCGACCTTTTTAAAGATGCGGTGTCGCTGCCGCGCGTCTCGATGGAATATCTCCTGCAAGGCACACTGAACCAAAAGATACGCCCCGGAGTTGTACGCCCTAGGCAAGGAGGCCTACGAAATGATGAAACGGGTGGTTGCCTGGGGGCCGAGCCTAGTCTTTTGTCGAAAGCACGAAGCGGGCAAAACGAGAATCCGTTCGCACAAATTCTAAGATGCGAAGATGTGTAGAAAAGTTCTGGGCTACGACGCCGACGTGCTGTACCCAAGGACAATAGGGACCTTAAGATCCGACGACGGCGACGGCAACGGGAACGCCACAAAAGCAAAAGGTTTAATTAGCAAAACAATGATTTTGCACGTGCATCAGGCTTTTTTGTGCATTTCTTTGCCGTCACTGCACGACTACGAAATGAAAATGCCAAATTTCACGATGTTCAGAGGAAGTACACAAGCGACGACGAAATTTCCTCTCTCTTTCTGAACTTGGATATGGTTTTTAGGAATTCAACTTTAGGAGGGTTCGCCTACATTTGACAAAGGTAGTGACTTGGAGTAACCGCGATGAAAATTGAAAGATCGTGAATTCATTTTTTAGCGACGTTTTCTCTGCCGTAGCCGTCCTCGGATTTTAAGGTCCCTAATGTTGGGCGACATGCCTTGCGGCAAGGAGGTTGTTCTGCATTGGCCGCAAACGGCAGAAGACGTAGAAATTTTCATCGACGCTCTGCAGCAAGCCAAATGGTTTTGCTTCGCAACGGTGGACGTTGAGGTGCCCAGAGAGTTATGGGAGAAATTTGAAGAAATGCGACCGTTGTTTTACAACGAACCCGTGCTGCAGCACATGAAAGAGTACTTGGCCCGCAGCAAGAGCAAGCCCATGCACAACAAAAAAAGCTGGTTGGCGCACTTTCAGCGCAAAAGATCGTGTTATACGCCCCGCAGCTAAAATTGTATCTTAACCATGGTTTGAAAATCACAGCAGTGCACCGACCCATTGCCTATGTACCTCAAAAGGCTGTCAAGTGGTTCGTGAAGAAAGTCACGGAAAACAGGCGCAAGGGTGACCAAAAATTCCAGCTGGCGCTGTTGGCGGAGGTGTTCAAGTTGTTAGGCAACAGCGCATATGGCAAGCTGATCGAGGCCTTGGAAAGGCAGATGTCAGTGAAGTACACAAAGAGCGTTAGCGTCTTCAGAAAGGAGCCGTGATCGGTGTGGTTTCAAGATTTTGAGGAGACTGGTGACGTGTACGAAATCGAGACGCGTAAACGCGGAATGGTCATCGACAGGCCCTTCCAGGTGGGGAAAGCAGTCCACCAGATGGCCAAGCTGCGGATTCTACAGTTGTACTACGACTGTCTGGAGGTGTTTCTTGATAGGAGAGATTTTGAGCTTGTCCAGATGGATACTGACAGCCTATATTTTGCGTTATCGTATGATTCTTTGGAAGAAGTGGTGCGTCTAGAGCTGCGGGACAAGTTCCAAACATGCAGAAAAAGGATGGTTCACTTGGGACAAATGGAGTGTGCGCGAACCTGGGTTGGTCAAGCTGGAGTTCAAAGGCACTCGCATGATTGCTCTGTGTAGCATACGTTATTACGGCGAGGGCGATAACGAGAACGGAAAGGTAAATTAAAGTGTCCTCGAAGGAGATCTCAAAGCGCCAAATCAAACTGCACTGGGACTGGTACAAAGAGGTACTGGAAGGAGTCTTAAATACTGCCACGAACAGAGGAATGAGAATGAATGGCGGGGTGATGTGCACCTATGAGCAAAAAAAGCTGGGGCCGAGTACGTACTATGACAAACGGTGGATGCTCAAAGACGGGATCCACACGGAGCCGCTTGAATATCACATCAAGGAAGAGGCGTGACAGGCAGAGCTGTAGGAGATGCTATAAGTGGAGTGGCAGCTCGGTGTTGGCAGGCACAACAAGAAGTTCCTCGCGAACGAAGCCCTGTTTGTGGCCATTATGCAAATAATACAAAATCGGCTCATTGGGTTTGATGATGGGTTTTTCGATATGGAACACTTTCCTTTCGCCTTCAAGCTCATCGGGTTTGTAGAGATGGCTCCAACCGCCGCAGAGGGGAGCCGTTTTTCGTTCACCCCGACAGGTCTGTGGTAAGAAGTCGCAGGTTTTTGAATAAACGGCCTTTTCTTTGGTGGCTTCAGCAGGCTTTTTGCCAGTCAAGCGAGTCACTTCGCCGTTCAGGGCGGAGACCACAGAAGGAAGCCAAACGACCCATTTGGAGGATCTTTATTCTTTCTTTATTTTATTGTTTGTTTGCCCAAAAATTGTACAAATGAAAAAATAAATCTAATTACTTAAACTCTCATGGCGAGGTGAGCCCAAGAGAAGCCACCGGGCTTATAAGGAATGGGCTCCCTCAGTTAAATAATAAGAACAAAATATCATCATAATTACACATGGGGAAATCAATGGCAGAGCTACAGTAAATCTTAAAATAAGTATATTAGATAGTCGTACTAATCATAGTTCTAGGCTAAAAAAAGCGAAATGACAAAAAGAAAAAAA